GTCACTGCTCCAAGCTCGCTTCCGTGATGGACTACAATCTCATGTTTAGTTTACTTATTTGTATTGAGATTGTAGTCTATCACAGGAGTGAGCTCATAGCGGTGACTACTTTACAACACACACAGGGACCATGGGGAACAAAAGTAGCCACCCTCCAGAAGGAAGGACAGTGTCAGCACCAATGCAGAGATGATTGGAGGATCTACAGCCGAGTGATACACAAATAAGATACATTATTATTAGGTAAGGTACTTGAATGCATTTTTAAGGTATAACTCCTGAGTTTAGTGCCACTTTAAATAATCACATCAAATCAAGACCTTCTAAATCACTGGCCAATCCTGATGGCCTTTGAACCCCCCCACCACGACCTTTTTTTAACCCCTTACTTGTTGAGAATTTAGTAGTCTTGGACACTTGGTTCAGCACATTTACTGATAATTATAATTTGACATGTCAAGATCTTTTCTCTATCATTGGAGGATTAGAGGGGGTGGGCACGTGTAATCATCTCTCCTCCTCCAATCACAGAATGTCTTGTATTCTTTGTAAGAAAACACAAGGATTTAGTGAATGGACAATAGTAAGGAGGGGCGGATGGTGCGACCAGAGCACTGTACTGTTCGAGACGCATCTCTCCCTTCCTCTGAGCCCAAAAGCTCGGCATTACATGCAGAAGACAACATGCTGCAAGCTTAGATTTGTATGCTTTGCAGCCGCCCTCCGCACGTAACGCACAGCCTTTTAATGATAATTTACGCAATCAGTGCGGTGTGTAAATGATCATTTTCCCCCCATAGTGTGGCTTCAAATGCTTTTAGATATGGATTATTGCAATAATAAAAAAAAAAAAAAAAAAGACTGTTTTTATAAAGAATTATGTGTACTACGTCTATATAGCACTGGAACAGTCCCAGAAGATAATCCAATGGCGTTTCCATGCGCATAATCCATTTATTGCTGGAACCGGGTAGCTGATTAACTTGGTGCTTAAACGCGTTCCACTGTTATAAAGCAACAAAAAGCATCTTCATTGTGTGCTAGTAAAATAAGCATTTATTTATGAAAGGAGAGAATTAGTCAATTACAGCAACAAATAACATTTTCCATTCTATGTTCCTATACCTGAAATGAAAAACCTGACCAGCTGCTGCAAGCGAACACAGGCTCCTAGTGATCTGGCATTGTACATAAGGACGCCAAGGTGCCAGGAGAATGAGAAATAAGGCAACTAATACATCTTCAACATGTTACAACACCGCTCTTTCGGGAGCACACAGCAGGGAAGAAAAACAGGTGCACGCTTGCTGAGCTTTACTCTCTAATGTATACACCTCCACAGTTAGAACGAATCCAGCCACACACCGCTTGTCATGTTGAAAAACTCCTTCATTCAGACTTGCACAGCTTGGCTTAGCCCAACTCTTGGTCTGCCCCGCTGACGCATTTCACTCTATCCAGGGCTTAGGCACAGAGAGCTGTGACTAAGTCCTGGATAGGGTGAAATGCGTTTGAGGGGTGGACCAAGGATTGGGATGAGCCAAGCTGTGCAAGTCTGAATAAAGGAGTTTTTCAGTGCGACAAGTGGTGTGTGTGTGTGGCTGGAGTCTTTATACTGTGGATCTAATACACCTTGTTATCCCCTCAACAAAACAAGCATTTAACCCCTGCAGTGCAGAGGTGGGTCTACTGCAAGGGTAAAACTGGTCATACACTGCAAATCTTGGCTGGTTCCTAATGAACCGGCCAAAATTCACACAGTGGGTAAGCAGCGTTCCGCCCGGCATCCCTCGATCAGGAAAATCGAAGGAACCAGATACAGAGACAACTATGTGCTTCCAGATGGGAAGCAGTCATGTTTCCATAGAAATCTTTCAATGTGACGGGGGTCCTAATTAGAGCTGCAGCTAACGATTATTTTCAAAATCGATTAGTTAGCCGATTATTAGGTTCGATTAATCGGATAAACAATAAAATTTAAAAAAATGGCTCCAGTGATAGGACTACTAGTTTGTATTGAGATTGTAGTCCATCACAGGAGATGAACCAGGCAAAATTCACACAGTGGGTGCCCCTGGTAGCACCGTTCCGCCCGGCATCCCTCGATCAGGAAAATCGAAGGAACCAGATACAGAGACAATTATGTGCTTCCAGACCCCCATAAACTATAGCTGGTCCCACAACTCGCTGCCCGGCCAAGGCGGTGTGTGCAGCTGCTTCTGCATCTAAAAAGACAATCTTGAACGTATCCTTTAGCTAACCAGTCAAGTAGAAGATCATTTTTGCTGCCTCACATGTCAGCATGCATAACAAGCAATGATGACAACCTGAATTTGGCTTTTCTGCTGCCCTGGACATTCTTATTCAATAGAGCAGATGTTGTAGGATAAAGACTAAAGCGGCACAAAGGGTAACCCTTACGCAGCACTACAGTCACCAGGATTAGTCCACTTCCCCATTTCTAGCGTGATGTGCCAACAAAGGACAAACATTTCCACCGATAAAGTACCGGTTTGATTAAATCAGCAAAATGTTACTAAATCCCCGGAACATCAATCTTCAGGAATGTCACCGTTGGTAACAGCGTGTGCACACAAAAGGGGAGACACACATCATTGAATTACAGCATTTATTTGTACTTAAACTAGCAGAATACATAATATGGTGAATACATGCAGGAGGTCATTCCTTCGCTGCATGCACATATTTCCATACCTTGGTGCACGCCGGCAAATATGAACATATACACCAGTTGCAGCAGTGCCTTGATGTGCAAGGAACACCGTGGCAATCGAACTCACCTCACCAAGAAAGAATGATCCACTCATTTATTTAAGGTCACATCCCTAATTCTAAGCTCCGTACAAAAGTGACTGTGAGGGGAAATTCTAGTGCTGCCCACAGCCACCAGCTAAAATCTTCCCTTTAATATGGGATCTGTACTGTGAAAACGGTTTGGAACAGAGTGGATGATACTGACAACACAAGAATCTGCCTTTTAATGGCCAGTAAATTACAAATTAGTACTGTGGAAATAAAATAGGTTTTAATAGCATTCATGGACAGAGGATGCACAAGATCCAATGTACACCATATACAAGATCCAATGGATAGCAAGGTGGCTTAGTGTTTAGCATTTCTGCCTTGCAGCACTGGGGCCCCGTTTGTATCCTGGTCATGTCACTATCTGCACGGAGTTTGCAAGTTCCTCCGTGTTTGTGTGGGGTTCCTCTGGGTACTGTTTTCCTTCCACTCTCTAAAAACATGCAGGAAGGTTACTCGGTTCCTGTCTAAATTGACACAGATATGCATCCTCGAAGGCAGGGACTGATGTAAATAGCACTATGTAAAGCACTGCGTAAAACTGTCAGCGCTATAAAATGTCAATAACAATACATGTAGGAGGACAAATGAATATAGATTAAAAAATCAGTAAGATTTTGTTTTTAGGAGCCAGTTCCACTGACAACACCTAGAGGTGAGAGAAGAAGAATTGGCGACCAGTCTCCAGGGCTAGTCCAGCACTGCGCTGAACAGTATCTCAGAATCAGGGACTGCACACGATTAGCCCTGGCAGTTTGGGCTATGTGGCTGCAGCAAAGTGATAGAGGGTAGCACAAAACTACTCTTACACTTCAACACCCAAAGCTCTGGTATACTGTATGTCAGGGCATACTGGAACTCTCTTGATGATGAAATGACATTGCAATGCCCGCAGAATGCAGCTCAACACCGTGACATACTTTAGTGGGCAAAACCTACTCAGACATGCAGACTTCATCCAAGTACACATGCAGGATTGACCTGAACTCTGTGGGCAGGACAAACTTTGGTCATCATAAAAGTGGATAGGGACTATCCCACACACAACGATAGGTGCCCAGCTGTGAGTGTGTACAAGTATACAGGTGAAACTCGAATAATTATAATATCGTGCAAAAGTAATTGCAGTAAGTGCTGCAAAAGGGGCCCAAACCAAGTACTGAGTACATATGCCTGCTTGTACTTTTCAGAGGTCCGATATTGTTCTATGTACAATCCTTGTTTTATTGATTGCATGTAATAATCTACTTTTTTGAGGTTGTGGATTTGGGGTTCTTGGGGTTTTCATGAGCTGTAAGCCATAATCATCACAATTATGACAAATCACGGCTTGAACTATCTTGCTTTGCATGTAATGAGTCTATCTCATATATTAGTTTCACCTTTTAAGTTGCATTAGTGAAATAAATGAACTTTGCACGATATTCTAATTATTCGAGTTTCACCTGTAAAGCATGTGGTCACCTGTCTGCACAGGACAAGTATTACCTTTCTGATCTCCGGTTTTGCCTTAGCAAGGACAAGAAAAAGGTAATGTGACAGTATCATTTGTATATCCTTCTTAGACTGGCTGGAACATGTAGATCAAATTCATCTGGAGGGCAGCACATTGCCAATGCTTGATGCAGGGAGCTTAAGAGTTAGAAAACAGCTAGATTCCTCTTGGAAGAAATTCAGCCCCAGTCTAAATGGACCCATAAAATTAGCATAGATTATCCAACATACTTCATCAAAAAAGTAAACTTCAGGTAACTGTGCTTTATCATTGCGTTTGTATCTGACCAATCGGAGTGATATGTTATCATGTTGTTTGTATTTGACCATTTGGAGTGAGAAGATCCTTTGGTAATGAAGGCAGCTACAGCGTCATCTGTTTTGTTTAATATAAAGCTATATAGCTCATTTATTTAAAAAACAATACCCTTCTTTATATATTTTTTAACTAAATGAGCCTATGAGGGAAAAGGAAGAAGTTGCTGAAACCAGCAACCAATCAAATGCTATCATTTTCTAAAGTGCTCCATTCAAGTAATATTTAGAGCATGATTGGTGGTTAGGGACAAGCCCTCTGATTACCATTGCTCTGGGTTTTTACTTCCTTAGTTGCTTTCTCTGTCTGCCTTCATATAACTTGCTCTAAGGAAAATCAAACATGCTCATCAAAATAAGGGAATGATTTTACCCTACAATACATTTAGCAATACAAGTCTGGTATTTGTTTTGTGACAAACTGAGAAAACAGTCTGCTGAATTATCACAACTGCCTGACTACACTGAAGCCTCATTGTATATACAATGGTCTGCTGGTCATCTTCTCCTCCTTTCCCTACTTTGACCTGTTAGCTCCCAGTGGAGCAGAATGGTGCGAGCTGTGACTACTGCCATATAGAGTGCTTCAGTCGTCAAAATCTGGAATGTCATCATACGAGTAACCCCTGTATCCTTTAGATGCATAATAAGCAATGCGGAGGTGGTAGAATCCAGGCAGGAAGACCAAAATTCCGATGATCAGCACAGGTATGGCCCGTTCATTGCCCTTCAAAAGAAAAAGTTAAAAGCAGTTATTATAGTCTACAAACTGCCAGTCTGCAAATACACGAGCATTGTATATAAGAAACAGCGCCATTGACCACAGCATCAAAACAAATGTGTGCTTTCTTTACCAATGTGTACAAAAAGATGACACTTTGCATGTGAAAGGATGCTACCAGTCACATCTCAAAGTGGCTGATCATAAGGCAGCTGGATTCTGGACAACCAGACTAAAGCTGGCCATAAAGTATGCACATTTCAGCCGGCCAAAATTCACACAATGGGTACCACTGTCAGCACCCCTTTGTCCGGCATTCCCCCATCAGCTGATCCAAGGAGCAGGTAGCCAATCAGCTGTCAGATCTGTTATTATTATTATACAGGATTTATATAGCGCTAACAGTTTGCTCAGCGCTTTACAATATAAGGAAGACATTACAGTTACAATACAGTACAAGATGGTAAGGAGGGCCCTGCTCCTGAGGGCTTCAAGTATTATGACAGGGGCCGGCAGCCGCCAACAGAATGCAATGAAGACAGCAGGACATTCCTCGATCAACGCTCATTGATGGAGGAATCTGTAATATCTTCTTTGTCCAGCCGGCAGGTTGAACGAAGAAAACATGACAGATCATGGGCAGCTTAACTTCAGAACAGCCCATTTTCATAGGATGATGGAATAGTCCAAAAGAAAATTAAAGTAGCGACACTACGATGTAGAACCTACCTTCACCTCACAAGTATACTAGAATAAAAAGTAAAGTGAAGACTCTCTTAAAAGATTATGTAAACCCTTACAATAAACATCTCTTATTTAACCCCCTAAATATACCATTAAACGCATTTTGTTATATCTGTTGGATAAGTGCAAATCCAGTGTTATCTCAAGCAATCAGGAAGTGTGTTAGAACTACAAAACACCTCCACCCTTGGGTTTTTAAAGGAGGGGAGAAAGGAAAGTGTTCTGTAGTCCTAATGAGGGATGCACCGATACCGGTTTTTCTGTATCGAGTACTTATTTATATTTCGATACTCACCGATACTGGTACTTGCTCTAGCATGGAGCCATCTTCCAGGGCAATCGGGAAGCTGGGCGCCATGTCATTGCCCGTCGCTGGTTCTTGATTACACAAGAAGCCGGGTCCATGCTGTTTGGCCAGCTCCATACTGATTGGCCCTGAAAGCCGGCTTCCCAGCCAACCAGTAATCAGCATGGAGCCATCTTCCCGGCCAATCAGGAAGCCTGGCGGTTAGTAATTACCTGCTGCCCAGCTTCCTGATTGGCCAGGAAGCCGGCTCCATGTTCACTCGCGGCACAGCCAGTCAGAGGAAATCTCCCTCTGACCAGAAGTTCCAATATCGGGGAAGGTAACAGAGCATTTGGGCGAGTACGAGCCTAGTATCTAGTACTGGTGCATCACTACTCCTAACAATTCTGGTCCAAGCATGACAACCCCTCTTCTCCATAAATAAAGTACAGTGTACAAGCACTGTAACCCTAACACAGGATGTTCGCATCCAGTAATATCACCAGGAGAAAAAAAAAGGGCCAATGCTGCCACCACATCTGAGGCCTGATAAACACAAATATTACATTTGATACACTTTAAAGGAGAAAATATAAATATACTTTCCCTAATAGTTACTGCAGATGTCACACGTCGGCTCTATAGCTCGAGAGTTGAGCGATCACAAGCCACCGATCGCTCAGCTCACTATCTTCTCCTTGCAGAGACTGTTGGTCATCGTTGCCCGCAAGGATTCCCCACTCTCCGTTCCTTCAGTGCTCATTGGAGAGACAGACAGGGGAGGGGGCAGGCATAGCTCTAGAGAGGGAGAGCCAGCTGTCAATCAGGCAGTGGGGTGGATCCTGACAATACTGTTGGGATCTTCACTATCAGCATACAGCAGGCAGTAGCCCGCTATATGCTGACTTTGGATCACACAAAGACATTAGTTAATGTACACCTGTTACCCAAAAGAGAACTATAGCCAAATAAAAGCTTTGGCAATAATTCTCTTTTAAAGAGAAATCTAAAATGAATGACAGAGGAAAGGAAAAGGGTGACTGTAAGTCTAACATGACAAACACAAATATAAAAATCTTACCCCATTGCTAATGTGTCCAGTCAGCAGAAGGGATCCGATCACAATCAGCAAAGTGCCGATCAAAAACAGGAGAGTGGCCAAAGCAATGGCTTTGTACGGGACTTTTGGAGGGCTCCTCTTAAACTGGATAGAAATCAGAAAACACATTTATTTACATAAATAACACATCTGTATTTTCTGAATGGAGATCAGTAAAGCACAAATAAAAGTTGCCTTTGGTGAAAGAGACAACACTCAGGGTCTGTTCACACATACAGCATTGACTGACATATTACACAAGTGAAACATCTTCAATCGATAACGCCGTCAGAGACTTGACGAATGTCCGTCAATATTTTGTTTCCATTACACTTTCAATTTTGGAATGAAAGGAGTTTTCCGAATGAAACCACATTCACCGTTAGAATTTTCTGCTCCTGTGATATTTTGTCACTATGGTCAAAATCGATCAATTTGACCCCAATAAGTATTAGAAAATCAAATGAATATCAAACTATAGTTCTCCTTTAATGTTAGATATATTCCGCCATCTAGTGGTGTTAATACGTTTCTGCAGGTAAGTATACAGGAAAAGTCAGACAGAACTATCCCATTTTTATTCACATTCTATTGTAGGCATAGTCATGAAGGCATATAAAATATACAAAATGAATTGCCCAGACCTTAAAGATTCCTTCACACCTATGTTTCCTATAAATGAGAACTATGAGGCGAGTGCTTTTCACTCACCTCATAGTTCTAGCCGACCTGTGACAATGAGACTGTCACAGGTCGGCTCAGTAGATTGGGAGGTGAGCGAACACATACCGGGTTCGCTCACTGATAAACACAAATATTACATTTGATACACTTTAAAGGAGAAAATATAAATATACTTTCCCTAATAGTTACTGCAGATGTCACACGTCGGCTCTATAGCTCGAGAGTTGAGCGATCACAAGCCACCGATCGCTCAGCTCACTATCTTCTCCTTGCAGAGACTGTTGGTCATCGTTGCCCGCAAGGATTCCCCACTCTCCGTTCCTTCAGTGCTCATTGGAGAGACAGACAGGGGAGGGGGCAGGCATAGCTCTAGAGAGGGAGAGCCAGCTGTCAATCAGGCAGTGGGGTGGATCCTGACAATACTGTTGGGATCTTCACTATCAGCATACAGCAGGCAGTAGCCCGCTATATGCTGACTTTGGATCACACAAAGACATTAGTTAATGTACACCTGTTACCCAAAAGAGAACTATAGCCAAATAAAAGCTTTGGCAATAATTCTCTTTTAAAGAGAAATCTAAAATGAATGACAGAGGAAAGGAAAAGGGTGACTGTAAGTCTAACATGACAAACACAAATATAAAAATCTTACCCCATTGCTAATGTGTCCAGTCAGCAGAAGGGATCCGATCACAATCAGCAAAGTGCCGATCAAAAACAGGAGAGTGGCCAAAGCAATGGCTTTGTACGGGACTTTTGGAGGGCTCCTCTTAAACTGGATAGAAATCAGAAAACACATTTATTTACATAAATAACACATCTGTATTTTCTGAATGGAGATCAGTAAAGCACAAATAAAAGTTGCCTTTGGTGAAAGAGACAACACTCAGGGTCTGTTCACACATACAGCATTGACTGACATATTACACAAGTGAAACATCTTCAATCGATAACGCCGTCAGAGACTTGACGAATGTCCGTCAATATTTTGTTTCCATTACACTTTCAATTTTGGAATGAAAGGAGTTTTCCGAATGAAACCACATTCACCGTTAGAATTTTCTGCTCCTGTGATATTTTGTCACTATGGTCAAAATCGATCAATTTGACCCCAATAAGTATTAGAAAATCAAATGAATATCAAACTATAGTTCTCCTTTAATGTTAGATATATTCCGCCATCTAGTGGTGTTAATACGTTTCTGCAGGTAAGTATACAGGAAAAGTCAGACAGAACTATCCCATTTTTATTCACATTCTATTGTAGGCATAGTCATGAAGGCATATAAAATATACAAAATGAATTGCCCAGACCTTAAAGATTCCTTCACACCTATGTTTCCTATAAATGAGAACTATGAGGCGAGTGCTTTTCACTCACCTCATAGTTCTAGCCGACCTGTGACAATGAGACTGTCACAGGTCGGCTCAGTAGATTGGGAGGTGAGCGCACACATACCGGGTTCGCTCACCTCTCGATCCTGTCACGGCTCTCTGCC